GAAAATAATTATTTTTCTGTACTTATAGACGATCATTAGATGTTCTCAGAAATCTAAAGAATTAAAAAAAAAATTTAGTAGCTTTTTATGGAAGTAGACGTTGAACATTAAAAAATAATTGGAAACATCATTAAGAATTAATAAATTTCAGTTCTTTTAGGTGACCATAAAATCCCAGAAATCTAAATGCTCTTTTTCTCAACATTTTTAATGGTGAGTATTTAAAAAGTCTAAGTATTATTTACAAATCAATACCATTTTTTAACAATCAAAAGTACAAGTATTTTAATTGTACTCTACATTTCAAGGTGTAAGCTAGCATATTCTAATAATAAGTAAGATTAACAAGAAATAATTTAATTTTAATAATTCTGAATATTCAAAATTTATATTTTGAGAATTTAGATAGAATTGTTATCGTAAAAATATTTTTTTACGTTTCCAAATTCACTTTTTTTAGAAGTCCTTATTTGTAATTACTTCTATTTTTATTTCAATTTTCGCAAACTAAATAAAAAATAGTTGTAGTAAAAACGTATAGATTTGGTTTGATATTCTTCTATTTAACATATTGAAGTCGCTGTGATGGCTAAATCGAGAAACTATAACACTAAACAAATCTCTGTTTTACACTGAAGACTTTATTATTTAAAAAAAATACACTAATATTTCTAAATCGGAATCTTTTTTTTAATTTTTAAATAAGAATAATAAGATATATTTTTGACAAATGAGACAATGATAATCAAAACAAAATTAATAAAACTGTTATAGTTAAAATTGTTATAATTAAAATAAGCTATTTAAAAAACAAATATAAAGGCTAGCAAAAAACTAGGTGTACAAAAAAATTTCAGAATACTTAATGAAAAAAAGTACAAATTATTTATAAATCATGTCTAATATAATTCCACCACCATGTTACAAATAGTAGTTTATTTGAGTAAATTATTTTCCTTTAAAAAATGTTTTTTTTTAATTTATTAAATTTTATATACGTTTTTAATAATATATTTTAAATCTAATTTAATATGTATATTTTTTATATATTTTAAGTTGATTTATTTATTTTAAATTTATTTAATATTATAGATATTTTAGCATAGTAATGCTTAATTTATTGTACTTATTATAAATTTTGATTTAGTAGCGTTACAATATTTGTTTCCTTTATTTATCCGTTACTTTTACTTAATTATATTTTATTATTGCTTAATGAAACAAAAACCCGTAGTGAAAGTGCTGCAAGAGAGCAGACAATGAAATAGTGACGGTCTATTGAAGGGGTACTGAGACTGTCTTCGATGAAGGAGACAAGATCATTTCCAATAAGAATAGAAAATGTTAAAATAGTATACTCTTAGTACATATAATTCAAATTGTTTGCACTATAAAATTGATAAAGTGCAAAATTATATGGAACGCTGTCCAACTGAGACTAATACTATAAAGACTATTTCGTTGCAAAAAAAATTTTTTTATTGCACCTTATTTTGTTTCTTAAGTACATTGAAGTTTTTTTTCTTCAGTAAAATGATTCTATATATGGCTAGTTTTTGAAGTAGATTTTAAATTTTTATTGAAAATAAAGAAAAAATTAAAATAGTTATACTCTTAAAAATAGGATTTAAATAGTACATGTAAAATTTATATTTTACACTAATAGCTTTCAAGTTTTGAATATCTCTTTAACTAGCATTATAAAATAATATATTGCAAAAAAGCGTCTTATTATGCATTTTTTGCTTCTTAAAAAATGCATAAAGGCATTTTTTTGGAGAAAGGTGGGGGCAAATGATTTTTTAAAAAGCGTGGTTTCAAAACAGTTTTTTAATTTCATATAATAATAAGAATGTTAAAGTGCTTATACTCTTAGAAACATGTTTTGAATAGTAATTGTAAAATTGATATTTTACATTAAATGCAATGTAGTTTTCAAATATTGTACAAATCAGACTACAATTATAAAATAATATGATGTCCAAAAATAGTGCCTTCTTATATCTTTTTTCTGCATTTTAAAAAAAATGATTTGAAGAATTTTTCTTCTTTTTTTTGGAAAAAATTATTTTGTAAAGGGTATGCTTTTGAATCGTTTTTACTTTTCCGATGATAATACAAAATGTATCTCCAAGCACATAGAAGTACGATTCAAACGGTTTGAACTACAACATAAATGCCTTGCATTCGATGCAATGAAGCTTGCAAATTTTAAATAGATTTCAAACTAGTAATGTAAAATAGCTATTTCGGCAAAAAAATGTCTTAATAAATCTCTTCTTAAGAAAAATGTTGTAAAGCATCTTTTTTGTTTTAGGGCTAAACAATTCTGTAGTGAACTTGTTTTTAAAATAGCTCTCTAATTTTCAATTGGAAAAATAGTCACTTTAGATACCACTTGCAACTTAGTTCCTGCAAATATAACCGGAGTATTTTGCACTGCAACATTGAATTTTTACGGTTTTAAGCTTCAATTTAATTTTTAAATTTCTCAGAACTCACAAATTATTACTAAGAAAAACTCAGTTGTCTAAGAATGCTTTATTATATCTTATTTTGTTTCGACTCTTCAAATGCTTAAAGTTTTCAACAACAACAACAAAAAATTCTTGGTTTTTAAGCAAAAAGTTTTATAAACAACTTAGTTTCGTAATTTACAATCGAAAATATAAATTTGCATTTTGGATGAAATAGTATAAATTTAGTTGATGTTCCCAAAAAGTCTGCTGAGAGGAGTACTTGGTTTCAAAGCACAAATGCCAGAGATGCCCACTGAGGAAGTGATTGAGGGTGGCTTGATCAAAAAAAGGCACTTGCATAATTTGCACTTTAAAATTATAAGTTAGAACTTAATTCAATGTAACTTTTAAATTTTTCACATCTTACAAACAGTTGAATAATTTAATGCTCAAAATGTATCTTAAAATGCTTTCTTTTAAACGATTCTTTATAGTGTTAAAACTGAAAAAAATGAATTCGTACTAACTTAAACATAAAGTTCAAAGCTTATTTATTCATTTTTAATTTTCATTGCAGAGTATGAAACTGCTTTTTAGTCAAAGTAGTACTATTGTATTTATAGCTATGGTGATGGAAAAGAAACTAAATTTATCCTTTATTTTAAGAAATTGTCACTTATTTAAACTTTTCATTAAACACTTGTTTTAATTTTTTGTTTGAGTATTTATTAATTATTTAATTTAATATTTAGTTTAAGAAAAAATAAAAACTAAACGCAAATAGTATTATTTTTCTTGTGAAATGTTAAGCTTTTTTTAAAGTCTGGAAGTCTGTTTTTATTGATTATATTTCGTATATAGAAATAATTTCGCTTTTTATGTAAAATATTCGTAATGAGTATAAATAATTTCCATTGAAGTGAAAATGTTACAACACATTTTTTTTTTGTTTTGAACAACCCATTTTGTCAGCTAATATTTTCTTTAAAATACTTAATGCAAAAATTTAAAGCAAATAAACACAATTTATGTATTGCAAGTTGAAAATTAATTATTCAAAATTTATTGTATAGTTATACTACTAGACTACCAATATGCAACTTTAAGATTATGAAAAAGCAGGCTTACAATGCATAAAAAAAAAGTAAACAGACTTTCAAATTTCGCAGTAGTTAGTTCATCCAGAATTATTGTAATCACAAATAATTAGAAAAATCTTCCAAGATATTTTAATGTGCAAGTTATTGTTGCAGATTTATCCAAGAAAATTTTCATATCTTTCTTCATCATATTATTTTATATTTTTTATGAGAAAGTTAATAGATATAGATTCAACATTAAAAAATACTTATTTTCCATTTAGCGATATTTCTGCGTATGAATATAATATTTAAATAATCTATCAATTAATTCAAAAATTATCCCTTGGAAGGTGATCACTTTTACGAAAAAGAAATTCGTGAACTTAATTTCTTCAGTAGAGAGAAAAACAATTTTACAAAATATGATAGCTTTTGTTGTAAGTTACATATTTTACTTGAAATATATTTAAAAATAATGAAAAAATTTCCCTTCTCTAGTATTTAAGGAAACATTTTTGCAGGCTTAATTAAATTTAATTAAATATGTCATATAATATATCAACGCATTAAAGCTTATGGTTTGTTTTGTGAAATCCTTAAATTTAAAATTTAGCAGATATAAACAACTTCCTGTTGTTTATAAACAACAATATCAAAGAGATTTTATTTCAGATTTTGAACCTCATATTTAGACACAAAGAGTGTTGAAATCTATTGCATCATCTGTGCTATAAAATGTTGAAAAGGAATTACAGAAGGAAATATCCGGATTAATACAATTATTTTTTGTATAATTTTCTGGATGTGTCATTCTTGTTTTGTATATCAGAATTGGCTGTCATTTAACACTTTTACATTTTCAAGAGTCCTGCCCAACGATTACGGTCTATAGAATTTCTACCAAAGAATGCGTAAGTAATAGCACCACCATATGCTGTCCCATGCATAGTTCTTCATTGTTTATTTTATGAATAGTAAAAAAAGATCAATTTTTAGTTCTTTCTTCAATCTGTGCTTCATATCAGAAATACTTCGTGTGCGAATTTTGGAACAACATTGTAAATGTTTACTCTCTTGCATTCAAAAATCATTCAATTTAATTGTTTGCTGCTTATTAACTAAAAATAAAATTCCAAAATTCTTTTTTTTTTTAAAAAGTTTAGGAGCATTGTTTACTAAAAAAAGTACACGTTGAAGTTATATTTAAAATCTCAATTTAATATATTTGTTGTGTCTGGAACATATTTCGTTTGTTTAGGCTTATGAATCTTTCTTAGAAAAAAAAAAGGTTCATTGCCTTAGAGTTTACTTGAATCCTTTGTTAAATGTTATAATAAATTTCAAGTTAACTATATTAAACATATCAGAAAGTAAAACTTTCTACAGTGTTAGCATGCTGATAAAATTTTTCATGCAGAGAGAAATGAAAATGAAAGTTTGTTTTAAGTTAAAAACTCACGTTTTTCAAAGGAAGAAACCGTCCTCTCATATGGGAAGGAACAATAAAACAATCTTGATCTACTTCATCAGGATAATATGGGGAGTCATCCAGACCATTTCTACTTCTGGATGAATTAGGAGTTGATGGCAAAAACCTTCGATCTAAAATGGGTGAGGAAGGATCCGGTGGTCTAAGTCTTGGATGTTCCCTCATCGGTTGAACATATTCATCATCATCATCAATACAAAGCTCATACCTATTCGATGAACCACCATATCGCCTACTAGAACGTCTTCGAGTCCGAGATTTTGAAGACAAGTCCGGAGTTAAGAGGTATGGACTATAACTAAAATAGTCCTCTGGCCAGTCACTACCTACAATACTGCCTCTGTGTTCTGTACTTATGTGTCTGAGACTGTCCATACCAAGGGGATTATCGTAGGAAGACACAATCTCGCTGCTATAACTATAAGCTCCAGGCTCGAGATCTCCATGACTGTTTTCTTTGTTCCAAGAACGAGGTCTATTGGTAGATGGTGAATGCTGAAGTTCGCTTTGAGAGAAGCCAGAAGATCCAGTTTGAGAGTTTCTTCCACCTTGTTTTCGGTGATTGCGTTCCATATGAAAATAAAGATGAGTACTGAGATGTTTTGCGAAAGATGCCATGTCTTCATATCGGCTTGATATGGTAAAGAAATGACATATACGGTGCTTTTTACTCTAATTTTTACTTATATCACTTAGAACATTTTTTGAACTTCTTATAGATTTTTAGATGGGATGATATCTTTGTTAAATGGGGGACCCTAAAAGTCTCTGTATTTTTCCACTACTAACTCATTCCATCAGATTTATAAACTAAAATTAAATTTAACTACTTACAAAATGCTTTTTAATTAATTTTTACGTATCACATTGGTGAGTATTTTGTATGCTCATATATCAGTTTCAAACTTGACATTCTTTAAGTTTTTATCAAACTTTGATGCATTTAAATGTTGCTTATTTATCTTTAAATTTGAAAAAAGTCACATTAGAAACTACCTTTATTTGCTTGTAAATTTAGTTATTAATTTAATTAGTTGGTAAGTAAATTATATTTCCAAAAAATAACTATCTAAAAACAGCTTTTAACAACAATAATATGTTAATCAATTGAATAACGAAAATCACATAAAATTAAAGATTTTGAAATTGAATAATTAAATTAAAAGGCTAAGCGGAAAATCTTCAATAATTACTAATTATTCCTGCTAAGTCTAGTTATCTTGCATGATGGAAAAGTGATATGCTATTTAATAATGCAAATAAAATAATTGCAATAGACATGTGATATGCAAAGCTATTAAGTTCTTATCATGATATGCAAAAAGAATTCTTTGTTGAAATGAATGTCGAAATCAACAAAGTTTATATTTATAAAAATTGACTTTGAAATATTGATATTGCAAAACAAAATAGTGTCATCTGTTTTCTCATATATAACAAAGAATAAAAGAAATTCTAAAAGTCACCTGAAGAAACAACATTTCTTTCTTGTAGTAAAAATCTTGCATGTATAATTATTAGAAAAAACCAGTCTTACTAAAAAACACACTATCAATAGAGAAAATCCCAATTGATTCGATAAAACGCACTAGAAATAAATTGTTTAAAGTCTTAAAGCTCCCGAGAAAAACATGCAAATTGAGGAGTTGGGCAAGTATTTATTATTCTGCAAAAACCACATTACTTGTTCTCCTAAAAATACATGCGTGCAGGTTACTACTGAATCAGGATGTGTAAGATCCTACTCGCATCTAGAGCTGGACCAGAATGGGCTCGTGAATTAGCAACAGGCTTGCGCCAACAGCGACATCTGGCGCTGACATCGATCGCAAAGAATAAAACAGAAATGGCTATTTTTTTTTTATTGTTATCAGAATCGTTTCTGCTTCAAGTATTTTTCATAACAGCAATTTGTAAGGCAAATAGTATTACTCTTAAGTATAAAATATGTTCTTGTTTATCTATCGTTTATGGTCAGCGAATAAATGGATCTTAATTGTGAGAAGTATTAAAATATAATTTATTATTCAATGCGTAGCGTTTACTTTTAATTAATTTAATGATTATGCGAGAGAATTAAGCAAAGGGAGGTTAAAGGAAACAAAAGTGCTTTTGAAATCAATTTTAAAATTGTAGTTTTCTTTTATTTATTATTACTGTATTGTGCTCGATTATTACATTTGACCAGAAATTATTGCATAAAGGTTTTTAAATATTTCATACTTATTATGTAAGAACAGTTTTTATGCAATAAAGTGACTTTCAAAACTTAATAAATAACAGATTTTTTTTTTATATTTAATTCATTTCAATAATATAACAAAATTTCCTTTTTAAACTATCAGATTTTGCTTATTTAAAATTTGAAATGTCTCATTTTCAGATTATTTTATTAATTGCAATGAAAGATTTGAAAAGAAGACCATAACGCAAATATGAAATTAAAAGATAAACTGTGACTATGCAAAAATAAAATTATCATCATCATTTAAATGTGCAATTTCTGATCAGAAACATAATGAAAATTTTAAAAAAACCAGAAAATTTTAAAAGTATATATTATGCGTTTAAAGTCCCGCAGTGGACTGATCGTTAAGACACGGTTCCCAGGAGATCACCGAAGTCAAGCATCACTGGCTGCGGTCAGTGTGCGGGTGGGTGACCACTTGGATCAGTCTGCGTAGGGACCGAGGGTGTGCGGTATTGGTCCTCGTTAAACTGTGNGCCTCAAGTAGAACACGAGACACGATTTTTGGTTTCATTTTCCATAACATCGAACATTGATACTTCGTACACTGAGAAAAAAATATGGTCAAAACTACCAAAATGTGATAAAATTTGCCATGTTTCCTGTCCTTATGGTAACATCAAAAAGTACTGTAATTCTTATTATAATGGTTATGACATTTGGTACAAATACAAATGAAACATGATTTTATTATCATTCTGTTTGGTTCTAAATGTAGTAAAATTTTGTAACTTAACGTAAAGAGTCAAATTAGATGTGGCGGAAAATGTTCTTATGTTTAATTTAGTAAATATTTATTAACTTTCTTTTTGATCAGTTTGTTAAATTTCGATGCCTTTAAAACTTGTAAAATATGAGTATTTGTAATTAAATGAATGTCTAAACAAGGATTCAGGCTGAACTTTCTTAAAAGGCAACAAAATACATTAACTATTAACTTCTTTATATTTGAATTCCATTTTCTTGTTTTAAAGGTTAATAAATATCTTGCATGTAAACGTTTAATCAATTCAGAGTCATAATGAAGGACAGATCATATAACTTGCTTCAACTAACAGCTTCTTCTGCTTTTTTATAAAAATTTCAAATTTGCTTCACCCTTAAATGGTGTAGTGCAGTGTTTCCCAAACTTATGACTTTCGTGTACCCTTTCTAAATTTTTCGCAACGCTGTGTACCACTAATAAAAAAATGAATGTATTTTATTAAAAATATGTTTATTTTTCTTTTTTGGTACGAAGTTTTGTTAATAAGTTTATTTGCATCAGTGAGAAGGATGATATTGTTTTTGCTGTGATAACAGTTGCTGTGATAAAAAAATTGCACTAAAGTTAAAAATCACAACCGGCTGCTGACACCACTAATTATTAACTGTTAACTTAGCAAAAAATATCCAATAGAAAAATAAGTCACCGTATATTTTCATGGCTGGCTTTGTTTTTAAATAAAATTTTTTGAAATTTTCGTTTGCTACAAGATATTTCGTATAAGAACGAGTACCCCCGCTAAACTGTTCCCGTACCCCTGGGGGTACACGTACCACACTTTGGGAAACACTGGTGTAGTGAAACTTCAATAATAAAAGAATGCCTATTTAAAACAAAAATAACTGACTGAAACCTAAAGATTTTTTTGATAATGAATCCCAGCCATAAGCTTTTGATTTTAAGCAGGTGCTATTAAATTGTTAGGATACTTTTAAACTTACCAAGTTTTGTCTGGTAAATTCGTAACTTTTTTGACAAAGAAATGTAATTTCAATTATTACCTTACAAGTAAATTTATCTTTATATTCCCTACCATTTTTACACATTTTGAGATTAAATAGACTTCATGACTTTTCGAAGTACATTTTCGAAATACATATACATAATACATTATTATAAAGCAGTGTTAATTTGAGATATTATATTTTAAAATCTAAAGTTCTTACATTTTTCAAGAACACTGTAAAATCTATGGTGCCATATCTTTCTGATTTTGGTGTTGAACAATCTAAAAAATTTTGAGAAGGTACACTTTATTTTAAATCAATACCAAATCAAGCGTTAATATACTTAAAAAGGTGTATTTTAAACCTAAACACTTAAAATCCAATAAGCTTATACTTAAATCTCGCACATTCACACCGTTTGGGAATTATTTTCACTTTCGAAAACTCCAATGGTGACGCACTTTAGATATCGCCAATTTTTTGTTTTTGTTGACAATTAAGAAAGGAAGGTGTTTTAACAACCAGTTTGATTGCATGTTAGAACACTGTAAAAAAAACTTCAGTATCACCAAAAATGGTGGTTACTACTTTTCACCAAGTGGTGTTGGGAAACACGATATATAACTCTCGGTGTTTCACTAGGCCAAGAATATTCTTTAACACTACTTGCAATAAAGTAGCCGCCTCCATTTTTGTAATTCAGAAACGATAAAACAAATAACTACAGTAAGATGGGATACATATAAGAATCAAAAATATTATTTTTACGATACACTATAAAGCAAGAATCATTTATTTAGGATGCATACAAACAATATTTTTTAAATTGAAATTAGTTTGTTAATCAGATATACACATAGCACAGAGAGTATATTACGATTTCGAACAAGGCTTAACAAATTCGAAGCAGATAGAAATTAAATATTATAAAATTATTTAATACAACTAACAAATTTCTATGAATTTTCTCCAGAGAACATAATTATCATTACAACTTACATGCCTTTTATAACAGTTTACATCTTTTTCTGTGGTATATTTAGTATCGTGTGAGGCGAAATCAAGCTTTCACTTTTTACTTTCTGGATAGTGAGCAAACAAAAAATATTGATCCTCTGACTGTTTCCAAGCGTACGTTGAAATTGGCGAAAATAAGTCATGAATGGAGTAAATGAATGTGAACTTGGTGTAAACTTTTTCCAATAGTTATCGCTTAGATTTAACTACACCATTTAAAGCGCAAATTAAACCTCAATTTGGTATCAACTTGAAATAAAGTATTCATTCACACAATTTTGGAGTTCTTTAACACTAAATGCGGATTACACCTCAGTTTTTACAGTGTAGTTAAATCTAGACACCGAAAATGGAAAATACTTACATCAAGCTCACTCATTTTTACACCATTAGTGAATTATTTTCGCATCCAAAAGAGCCAATTTCGGTGTAATTTGGATATCGTCAGTAGATTGTTTGCATTTGAGTACGAGATGTCGTGAATTTATTGTTTTCTTGCATGTCGTTGTACACCGATAGAAGCAAGAGTTTTCCGTTACGAAATGTACGCTTGTTTTTAGTTGTGTAATAACTGTATTTCAATTTTTAAATATCTACCTACTGTATTAAATAATTTCGTGACATTTAATTTCTATCCACTTTTCTGTTAAACCTGATTCGAATTCGTCTTAATATTCTCTTTGTTATGCGCATGTTTGATTCACAGGTTAATTTTCATTTAATAATTAATGTTTGTATGCATTCTAAATTAATTCTTCCTACTTTTAATTGAATCGTAAAATAAATTTACAGACACTTATTTTTTATATCGTATTGTTTTTATAAACTTTAGTGTTAAGTGTTTAGTGTTAAACTTTAGTTAAAAATTTTAGTTTATCTTACCACCAAAAATGAAGGGAACTACTTTTCACCAAAAGTTGTGTAAAGGAACAATCCTGGTGCATCACAAAACTACTTTCAGTGTGAAGTAGTTACCACAATTTTCTGTCTTACGGGGCAGTAAAATTTTATACAATGAAACTTCGTCTATCATTTCAATAAAACAAGCGAAAGACCT